CAATGAGTTTCACATAGCGCACCATAGGCTTTTCAACTAATGGAAATAACTTCATTGCTTCCATTTGGAGTTTATTAGAAAAATCAGATCCAACATGAGTATCTGGGAACAGGTGGTACATGGGTGTAATTCACTTTTAAATATCTCTTGTGTATAATTTGTAGGACTACGTCTTCTACAGAGGCATATACTTTGCATACCCCTTTCCAAATGCAACTCAGCTTTAACTTTTTGTTGGCTTCATGCCTTCCTTCAAAAGCACTGTATTCTATTGAAGTTATTTTCCCTCCACTGTTTATTCAAATATACAATATACTATGAAAGCATTATGGTAGCTATTGCTGCTGAATTATTGCTATGTAACATCTGAGTGCTGGAAATATATCCCTAAACTAGCAGGCAGAGTGACAGATGAATGGTGTTCCCTTTAATCCTAAGGGAACAACAACTGAAATACAGCATTCACAGTGTGATGCTGTTTGCATTCCTTTGCATGTCAGTTCATATTTCTGATGGGAAGGTTTCTTCCCCTCTGGGAGAGATATCACAATTATAAAACAAATGATTTTTAAAGGGATGGGGAAACTTGCTGCACTAATATTACATTTAAAACAGATCATCTTTGCCATTAATTTCACTTTAAATAAACAGGAATTCTTACTTTTCTGATGTTTATGAAAGCACATAGGAGTAAATTTGACCAAAACATCTTTGATGGGAAAAAATAACATTTGGGAAGTTGGAGTGGAGATTTTCAAAAGTACATCAGGGAGTTCAGAGTACAGACCTCATTGATTTCCCCTGGAATGTGTGCTCCTAAATATTAGGAACTGCTGAAAATCAACTCTTGCACTTGCATGGTTAAACGCTAACAAGTAAGATGACAGCAAATAGATCCTTACTTTGCATTAAGATTCAGGGTTTAATTAAATGATCCCATGCTACTTTTCCAAGAGCCTGATATATGGAGCTGAGGACTTGGAGAAATGGCCTCGAACTCCAGCAGAGCAAATTTAGGTTGGAGCTTAGGAAGACTTTTCTGACTATAAGGGTGGTCAAGCCTTGGAAAAGGATACCTAGAGAAGTTGTGCAATTCTCACACCTGGAAATTATCAAGAGAGGGTTGAACAGACGCTTGCCTGAGATGGTTTAATTGGAGATGATCCTCCTTGAGCAGGGGGTTGGACTAGATGACCCCACAGGGTCCTTTCCAGGCCTATTTTCCTATGCATTTAGCATGTTCACACAACGGATATTTGGTGCCTGTCTAGTGAACAAAATTAATAAAATTAAGTTTTATAGAAACTACAAACCAAACTAAACTTGCTCTGATGGCTGGATACCAGATTCTCTTCTTCAGCCCAAGCACTTTACACCACTGGGAAGGAGGAAAGAGAATAAATAGTAGCCATTCCTCTGCTGAAAAGGTATCAGCAGAATACAGGAATTGTCAGTGGCGGTGGTCCTGGGAGCCGTGACCAGGTGGCACAGGTCAGAGCAGACCCTTGGCTGCTCTAACTCTAAGCTGCCCATGACAAAATCAGAAAACTGTAGGCTGCTGAAGTGCCTGAAAGAATCTGCTTCTAAGCAAGCAGAGTGAATGTAAATCTATTTTGGTATTTTCTGGCATGAGAATGCGCTACTTCAACTTAACCCTGCATTTCTTGACCTTTGAGCACTTGATTGGGTAAGCTTAATATGGCCAACTCCTATGCCAGCGGTTCCCAAACTGTGGGTCATGACCCCAAATGGGGTTGCAACATCAACGGATAGGGTTGTGGGGGTCGGGAGTGAGGGGCCATGCCAAGGAAGTGTTTGGGAAGCACTGTCCTAGGCATTAATGTATTATTATTTATTAGGTGAAACAATCAGCACCAACTATGTATTAAATACTTTCACTGACAGGAGAGCAAAGTCATCAGGCCAGTTTGGGGCTAGCCTTTCAGAAAACAAGCCATCTGAGATGTTTAAAGTACCAGTGCGCTTGTGAGAAGGCACACCGTAAAGAGCAAAACAGTAGAAAAAGCAAAAAAAAGAGCTTACATAGTACACAGCATGCCTCCTCACCCCATGTCCCACTTGACTGCTAATTGTAATTTTCTCACGTGAGAGATTATTAAGAGGCTGAGGAAACTAATCCACTTGCAATGCTTCACTGTACTCACTGACTTCATCGCCCACTAGAGGCAGCAGCAGCAGAATTCAATCCTGGAGATGTCAGCGCTGAAAATGTTACTTGTACTTTGTGCAATCCATGAGTTAAAGGTGATTTTAAACAGGCTATCATAGTTGTCATGTACTCTGGAGAAACTGTAACCTGTTAAACAGGACAATCTATGCTCTTGATGATCCAGTTTCTACAGTCTACAGTCCAACTACGTCTATGGGTTGGAATATTTTTTTTTTTTTTTTACTGTTAGTTTGATGAGTTTTTATTATAGGTAACTTGATGTTACCTTGGGAAACCATGGGTCATAATAGTCAAATAAGTGAGAGACAGGCACAAATCGTGCCTTTATTGTCAACACGGCTGACTGCCACTACAATTATACAAGTGTCAACAACAGTAGTGTCTCAACCGTAGCGACTATAAGAGATAACACAACTACAATGAACTTATGGACTTTAATTAACGGACAGAGGTTGTGGTTTTCATTAACAACTGCCTTGACACCCTGAATTTTAAGATTACTTAACACGCACATTGTTCGTTTTTATCATTCGTAGAGCTAGTTTGCTCGTTTCAGATCAATGACACAGAAAGCTGATTCAAATTGCTAGATACTTTGATTGCAGAATATCCCTGCCAGGTAATTTGACAGCATAAGCTGATATTTTCCAATCAAAACTGAAAAACTATTTGTTCTACTTCATTAATATCTGATAGTCATTTAAGGCTTTTTGTAATCCTCAGCAATAGAAGTATGTGATGGACCCTACAGAAGAGCAAGCTATCTCGTAGTTTGAGCTATAATTTTATAAAATGTTTTTAAAGACATAAAACATAAACAATATTTGCTTTCTGTATCGTAAGTGAAACCATACCACTAAACAATCATATCCTGTTTAGCCCATAATGACATCAGAAATATATGTTTATCATCTGCTCTGGACAACTTTGCATGTTTTTGGCCCAGGGCAAAGTGGAACTGAAACCGTTTGCAGTTGTCCAAACCAAGATAACCACACATTTTTGAGGTAATTGATACCTAAAAGGAACACAGCCTTTAGATCACAGTTCATGATTTAAATACACTAATTCCTTAAAGAAGGCTGTTAAAGATTTTTAAAGTGTCTATTGGACTTCCTCCAAAACTTAGCATGGGTTAATCATAATCTACTGCACAAAGAAAATACGATACACTAGACTACTTCACATGCTAACAACTCTCCTTTTTAGGACTGGATTACATTCCCTGCGGTCTCTGATTCTCCCCTATCCATCCCCAAAAATAAAATTAAGCAAACAACAACAATGAACCCAAAACAAAAGAGGGCCAGAACACTGGAAGGCCAGAAAAGCTGAATGTCTGAAACATGCTAGTTTTACTTCTGTCGTTGCAAACCAGAAAGGAAATGCCAATATTAACCACACACCTTTAGCATAATACATCTAGGGTAAATAAGTGGGTGCAAATCAGAAGTTAATTTACTCAAAAGAACTGATTGAAATCAGTGCAATCCTACTGTAAAAAAAGACTCAGGCCCATTACAATGTTAACTGCATCCCCTACATCTCCTGAATGAAACTCTTGGGTTGCTATGAGGTAGGAGGCAGGGGAAAGGTAAGTGGTCATAAAGTGAAGTCTGTGGTCCAGGAATGAATCCTTTGAAAACCAACAGAAAAGACCTATCTAGGAAATTTGGCATGGGCTCCAAAAGAACAAAGGTCATCATATTTTTAAGAAAACTCTGAAGTTGACCAGATGAAAAAAAACAGAAAAGGTTGCACTGTTATAAATGAATGGCAGGCAGAGAACAGCAGGGAGTTATGGTAGAGCATTAGATGTTTTCTTGTTAATAAGTATTACCACTTACTGCTCGCACAGAGCCAAAAATGTACATGGCCCCGTAACAAAAAGACCCAATAAAAGAACGTACATTCCCCCTCACGATCTTAAATTATAGTTTGAGTAGCAGGAGAGGGGAGACCTATTTTTCTAGTGCATGGGTTCTCAAGCTGTGGTTCATGGCCACTCTGCCCTTGCCCTATTTTCCTATGTTCCCCAGGTCAAAAGTTAGGGTTTAGGTGCAGTAAAGACTTGGATCCAATACTTGAGGTTAGCACAAAAGCTACATTATTTCTTCTCCAGATTGCCTTTGAAATCAACCGATAGAAAACCAACAAAAAGGTACTTTTGGCGAACATGCCTGAACAGGACTGAATACAGCAGTGAAAATATGTAAAATCATTTTAAAAAGCAGAGGACAACTTAAAGATCCTATCATTAATACCAAGTCAGTAAGATTAGAAGCAGATTGCTCACATAGTAATGAAGACAGATTTTAAACGCATAGAAAGGATAGGAAGCAGACTTTGAAGACAAGAGAAAAGGGTAAACTGAAGATTGTGTTGTGTGCAAACAGAGCACTTTCCCTTTTATTGGTAAGCTATGCCTCATGGAAAAGAAATGCTCATTATTAATTCTTTGAGAATATTTTTCCCATGTAAGAGAAGTAATAAGTAAGACTTCCTCCCAACTAATACTTTCCTAACCATAATATTTTAAAATAGAACTCACTGCCTATAGAAGAGAAACAGGGATGTGAGAGGGATGGAAAGATTCATAACTACGCTTCATTCATTCCCCTGCCTCTCAGCAAATATTTTCTTCTGGATATGGAAATAAGATTCCTTTAGGCCATCTGTGCAAAAAGGAATCAATTAATTTTATGTGCGGTGAAAAAAACCCAATCAGAACAGCATGACGTATGAAGTCATTACACTTTTCCTTTCCATATTAGGGCTACTTGCAAGTGGGGGAAGGAACAAGAATTACCTCCATCCTCTCCAGCTTAACATCATCGATTTCATCATCTTCAAACATAGCTAAGAGCTCTCCAGTCTGATCAATGGAGTTGAGAAAGTCTTGAGCAAGTTTCTGCCTTTTGTTGACACTGCTACTGTTGAATTTGTCTAAAGGAAAGCGAACAAAAACACAAGGCCTCTTATTTTGGTGTATCCGAGATCCTTTATATCATCTGACGTACATTCATGAAATTATGTGCAAAGTACTTTTTAGTCAATTGTAAAAATACCTCCCACTAAGTAACAGATAACTTAAATTTTCTGTTAGTCATGAATTGCTAACCCTTTTTCTTGCTGGCATTTTGGAAAAAAAAAAAAAAAAAAAAATCAAGGAAGTGAGGTCTGGTCTGAAAAAGTATGGTGTAAAAAAGGAAGAAAATTACTTTCTTTTAATTCTGTCAATCTGATCAACTTCAAATAGGATCCCAATCTGCAACTCCACACACAAGCAGGCATCTAAGTGGAAAAAATTGTGTCTAGGAAGTGAGATAGCTTATCATACCATCCTTAGCCGCACCTGACCCAAACGCAGGTTGAGGGTATGCCTACACCGCAGGCAGTGAGGTAACACAAATGTAGTGTAGATAGTGCTACCCAAGCTAGCTTTAAACTAGCAATTGTGGTAGTGGTAGCAGGCTCGCCGCACATAGCCAAGTACAGGCTAATTAACTGTTGAGAAGTATTTCCGTGACAGCAGCGTGGACATGATCTACATTTAGGGAAATAGCAATCATCTCACAAACTTTGACTTTAATAACAAACATCCTACGTGTCAGACACTATACAGAGTGTACACTATCAACCTAGACTCCCCCAGTACATCACTTGATTCAAAATGCCCACCAACCCAACTATGCCACTGGGCTCCCTGCTACCTGTAGAAATACTCTTAAACCCTTTCTTCTCCTAAATGATTCCCACAGAATTCTCCTAGGGAAGTGACTGTTTTTCCATGCTGCCATACAAACTCAGAGAACTTAATATATGTAGGAAAAAAACCTTCTCAAATGCATACATGGGCTAAAGCTGATTATCAAGCAAATCCTTAAGTCGCCGGTCCGGAGCATGAGTGGATCCACAGACAAATTTTTTATTCCACTGCCAACCACCAAGATAGCTGGTGACATAGCCTAGTAACTAAGAAGATAATCCTAGCTCAAGGGACAAAACTTAATGTTCAAAACTCAGTGCTGCAAAATGCAGTTTTGCTTACAATTCATAGGTTCAATGGCCCGTTTGACAATTTAAGCCTAACTTTTCAGATGAATGCTTCCTTCTTAGGTGGCATCTTCATAAGCACAAACGTGATTTCCAGATTATTTCAATTTTTTTTTTTTTTTTAATTATGGCATGAAGCTGAGCTGTAAAAAAGAAAAACAAAGCACTCTGGGAGTAGGATTGTATTACTGTACTTCATCAAGAGTGAAACATTAATGCTATGCCTCAGACCTTTGAAAATATCATATGCCAGAGAAAGGTGGAAAGTAAAATCTCAAAAGGGCTTACAAAAATGCACCCAAGTATTAGTCACAAAAGAAAAAGTAATAGTTGTTGGCCATTGTCAATATTCACAAACAGTCTGAAGAGCAGATATCAGGGATAAACTCAAGCAAAAGTGGAAATTATTTTTAACAAGTATATAAAAAATACAATACAAGTAAAAGTAAAATACAATTCATTTTCTATAAAGATAGATGTTTGCTTTTTAATTCAAAACAATGACAGTTTATTGTTGTGACAAACTATACCAGTGTTATACTAGCATCTTCACGTGTCCTGTGTCAACCCACGGAGGAAAAATATTTCACAAATACCCATATCCTAAAGTCAATTCACACTACTGTTTACAAATAAAAGGTAGTGGCTAGTGTAAATCAGCAAGCTTCACTGGATCCATTTAATTCAGTTGAAATCAATCTAAGAAAATTTATAAATTAAACAGATTTGTGGTTTTAGGTCCATTTGTTATAAATTCTATGACTTGCTTATAAAGTGGAGAAGCAAAAATCTTTTCAGTTTTATAAACTATGAATTGGTTGCTTCAAACTTCAAACAGGAAAAAAATCCTTGCAATACCTCAGTATTACGTGACTTTAGCTTATAGCTCCTTTGTAAAAAAAAAGGTAAAAAACCTCTGCTAATAATTTTTTTTAATGCCCATTTACATGGAGTTTGAAGCCATGCACCCCTGTTTTGTGAATGGTAGCTACCACATGTAGATTACACATACTGCAATCAATCCGCCTTTAATCAGCGTCTGTCTCTCATTTCAGCATAGCTCTGACATTAAACAGTCCCTCTTATCATTTAAAAGGTGTATAGAAGGCTTGCATTTTATGAAGTAATCTGAAAGGAAAAGCACCAAATTAAATGGAATTTGCAATGTCAATATTTTGGGTATCTAAAATTACCTAGATGAGGTATATAATATCAGGATAGACAAAAACACTGGCAAAAGGCAAACTCATCTCAAAGTTTTATACCTTCAACAAGATCATCATCTTCAATGCCTTTGACAATTTTAGATTTGTAGTCTCGGAAAAACATATATTTAAGCAGCCTTCTCAGCTTTTTCTAAGGAGTGAGGAAGAGGGGAAAAAAGAGCACGTTAACATTAAACAAAACACATACAAAATATTTACTTACAGGGTTAGGATGTGATGGAATGCCCACACATTATATAATTTATTTACTGGCCTCTATATCTATATATAGCATAGCACGGCATAGTATAGTACTCAGTGGGTGTATCTACACGTGCGTTTTACTGTGGGGTTGACTAGTTATGCAGTAAAGCATTACTGTGTACACATGCACTGATATAAGGGCACAGTAAGTTAACAGGGACAGTACTATCCTATGGCAGAGTAACTGTGCGCACTAAAACGCAGGTGTAGGTGGTGACAGGAGCTGGCTAGGCCACGCGGAAGCTAAAATAGGGGGGCTGCCTGCTACGTAGCCCCCACACTTTAGCACCCTCGTGCTGCAGCCAGACCATCTGCTATCCGACCATCTGCTATCCGATGCCACCCTCATGCCACCACTCAGAAGGCAGGGCTGACCCCCCCGGTCTTCCTGCCTGCCCAGGGTTGCTCCATCCCAGCTCAGTGCTGCGGTCCTTGGCGTACATGTAGATGCTGTGCCCGGGAGCCCCTTCCTCTGGAGGAAATGGAGCCAGACTTTATTGCTGCACCCTAATTTCACATGTAGATGCACCCAGTAAATACATAATATTTCTCCGATTTTGCAGCAGCTCCCTGCATGAAGAAGTCCAGCTGAGGTCAAGAGGAATTCCACAGGGGCTTCTGCTTTTTATAATGAAATTGCCATTTCTCACAGTGCAAAGAGAGAAAAAATAGCCCCAACTAAAACTTCCTAAATTTCCAAAAATGACTAGTGACTTCAGGCAGGTACACCTCTAGGGCATTTAAAGGCAGGCACTCAGAATCATTAGTTACTTTTTAAAATATGCCCACAGCTTCAGGGGCCTTATTAGCATAGAAAGAGTTATCTGCATCCTTATGTTTTGGTCGCTTAGTTTCATTAAACATTTTTCCTGTGGCCTTTTTTTTGCTTTACCCACTGTACGCAGTTGGCCTATGCAACTGGGCAAGGACAAAGCCTTGGAGACCTAGCTTTACTGTGTCCCATTAAATTCCATTCAGATTTTTCTGAGATTGTTGCTTTAAATCTCCATTATCTGTCTCTTGCTTGCATCTGCAGGGGAAAAACTGGCAGCCTGTCAAGAGCATAAAGGAGCACAAATGTTCTGGACATGCTATGTTATGGAAGAGCAGCAACATCCCCAAAACTACACTCCATAGTCAGCAGGAGGGAACTCTGATGGCTTTCTTGATACACCGCATTCCTCTCCACCTCAGGCCCAGCACAGGGACTCAGCAGTGTATGCTCCACTGAGAGGACATGAGATGAAGTAGGAATTCACCACCTCGTAGGAATGAAGGAAGAAGAAAATGATATGAATAGTATATTTCCTTTTAAAAACCCTGCATTAAAAGAACATTCATTTTTCAAAATCAAGGATTCAAAAGTTACAAAATACCAGACTTATAGTTACTTGTGCCACCTTCATTTAGTTTAATTGATTAATCCCTGCCTTGTTTACTGCTTAAAATGAATGGCACTCATTTAATGAGCACTTAATTCACAGAGCAATCAAAGGCAGAGTTCTCGTTTTCCTCTATGGTGCTCATTATTACTTTACCTGCAATCTTCACAGCCCATTTATGTTCCCAACACCCCTAAAACATGCAGAGGAACTGTTATCTTCATTTTACAAGTGAGAAAGTGAAACAGAGATACTAAAATAAAAAATATTTATTAATTCTGTCCTCACCAGGGACCATCCTTTCTCTACGTATGTTTTCCTGCCTTCCTAGGGAACTGAAGGCATGTGGTGAAACTACAAGTGCTAGATGTGAATGAATTAAATTTAATGGGACAAAGGAAAGTTATATCTCCAAGGCTTTATCCTTGCAGCAAATGTCTTGTAGACAACAGCCTCCATTGCTACACATCCCCAGCTCATGCCGGAGAAATCCTATTCTGTGACTGAATGAGAAAATTGTCCGAGGTAAGAGAATGTAAAAACTAACGTATTGCAATGTCAAGAAGGCACCCTTCATCTTAGCAATCCAACTTTGGAGTGCCCAATTTTGCAATCTTAATAATATTCTTCAATATTGTACGTGCATGCATAGTTTTCTAGTTTCAAACAGCAATTTTTTAAAATGAGAAATTCCACCGTGCGGCATGAAGTGGGGCTGGAATCTACAGATTCATACCACAGACCTCAGCCATTTGACTTCAGAGAGTAACTTATAGCAGGGTTGTTATCCTCTACATAGACCAACACTAGTGGGGATGGGACATTGCAGAGCTTGACAATTTTTTATTAACAGCAGAAAAACGCTGGGGCTCAAGACCCTTGGGTTGCAGCTCACATTCTGGAGAGGAGGGAACTCTAGCAGGCGCAGCCTCTTCTGTCCACTTCCCCCAAGTGTGATGCTTTCAACACTGTCTCTGTAGGATCAGTCTTATCTTTATCCAAGGTCCTCGTTCCCATCTTATTGCCTAACCATTTTTAGATCTGGCTCTTGTCTTTTCTGAAGCTGACTTAGCTTCCTCCAACACACTGAAAAAGCAATGGGGCTCATTGACAGAGCAAGAGAGTCAGGCCCCTGCTCTTGGTTCTGGTGCATGGCCCAGAGCAGACCAGAGCTACAAAGGCAAGGCACATTCTACTCATATCCACACTTCTGCATTCCCACTGCAGAGGAGCCTATACCAAGGAGTTAACCATTTCTTCAGCACAGCACTTAACCGTTTCTCAAAGGCTTGTAACGTGGTGCAATTTGGTTGGGTTTTTATGGAGATTTTCTTGACACAAACACCGTGTCACTGCAAAATTTCAATTTTGGTTCCAAAGCATGCAGGTCGAAGAATAAAAAGGTGGACAACATTTTGAACATGGATAAAAAGTTTTTCTGTAGCCTCATTCTCAGAAAAGGAAGAGCATGAAAGATGAATGGTAGAGTAGGAAATGGCAATGTGAGATCTAGTCAGCAGTAAAGTAAGGTAGGTAGTGGAGGTTACTGAAAGTGAGCATCAAACATTAACATTTTCTGCAGACTAAGACCAGAGGTCTGATGAGAGACTCAAGTAAGAAGGAAAAAAAAACAAACCACAGATCTATGAATATAGAAGCTGATTTTAACTGAAAAATTCACAATTAACTGATATAATTTGGGCAGCAGTACTCAAGGCAAGGGAAGACCAGGACGTGAACAAGGGTATTAGAAGCTGATACAGGAGAGAGTAGACTAGAGAGAGAGGTTTGGGAAATATCAAGAAGAACAAGAACAGATTTAGTGAGAGCTTAAGTCTGAAGAGATTGAAGGATGGAGTTATGCTGAATGCGGCACCAGAATCCACAGCACCACTAAGTGGAAGGATGCTAGAAAGCCGGATAGTGACAAAGATGGAAGACAGTTATTTTAGTAGGCAGAGACCATCACGTCCAAGCTATTAATCATAAACGTTGGATCCCTGTGTATTTGATTACACTTATATTGTATGCATGAGAACACATTATTTACAATGCAAAGTGCCTGATTCTTGTACCTTATCTTTGCGCATCAAAAACAGAAGATCTTCAGCAGAGATGACTCGTGCTCCCCTCAACTGAGAAACTTCAGCTGCTTGCTGCAACTAATAAAAAAAAAAGAAATGTAAAAAAGGACAACTTCTATATTCTGCATTGTGTTGCTAGGTTTTGAAATGAGTCCAAATGAATACACTGTGTAGCAACATGTTGTAAAATATATATCTTACAAATACAGGTTAGGGCACTCAAAGCTGCCTAAAGGACTCAGGCACCCAACACCTAGTAACCAAAATCCCAGCCATAAAGGCTAGGGAGAGACATTCAAAAAGCCTGAAGCGGAATCGATCTAAGTTATGCGGTTTTCTGTAAGCGGCATAATTTAGATTGGTAGTGAACAGAAGACACGTTTGCCCTTTGGTGGAGCGTGGGGGAGAGGGGACAGGGTAAATCTTAGTCCAGGGTCCACCGTTTTTAAACAAGTCTACGTGTGCCGAACTTCTGTTCTGTTACAGGTATAAACTAGTTTCCAGTCACTTATCTGGGTAAAATGTCTGTACCCGGCCAAACTATATAATATCGCAGCAATCACATTTCTGCATTTCAGAGCAAAACAAACCCATTTCTCTACCCAGACTCCTTCGTCCAGCTCCCAACAGTCCCAGTGCAAAGAATGGGCATAAGGAGTAAAAGCATGTCACCTCACTCTCTAAAGGTGGCAGGTTAACAGATTCCGCTCAGAATTTCTAGCGCCGCAACGTTTATTAATTTTATACATTTCTATAAAGAATTTTTCAGGGGAAATCTCCTGCCTCCCTTGGACCAGCATCAACACCAATTGCATTTATGTGAAGACTAAGCTAGCAATGCTCTCTTACCATCTGAGAGCGATAGAAGAATTAAAGCAAAATACGAATGCCACTGAAGTCACTAAAAGCACTCTTACAGGTAGGACTTCACCATTAGCTTGAGACACAAGGACTGATTTGAGCAATGCCACAAGGTTGCGACCATGGCTGCCT